CACAAAGCTGTCCTCCTTGCCGCTTATTTGTTCAAAATCACTAATTGATCACTGAAAAAAGGTACAGAAAAGTTCAAAATCACTAATTGATCAAAAACTCTGCTTGACATAGACGAAAGAGTGATCCCCATTCCAATTAGCAAAAACTCCAATCCAACTACATACATGTGGATTGAAACCAAACAATGAGTAGAGTCAATAACCTGCAAGCAAGAGATTTTACTATCTTCTCACAGCTAGATTCCATTCTTCGTTAGTGAAGTAACTGACAGCTGACTGCATGCATTCATGCAAAAGCACAAGAAGACCTTGAAGTTGGCGGTCAGAAAATAGACAAATAATGACTTCAATCAACTCTTCGGCTTCTGAGGTCAAGTACATATAGCCCTTTTGTTTCTGCAAATAGAAGCACCACAACAACCCACTGAAATCAATAAAAATCGAAGATATTTCCAAATTATTCATAAGCATTTGCATCATTAATATATCTGTCATGCTGTAAGATGGTTCTGTTAAATTTAGAAAGGAAGAAGATTATTGTATTGCATATCCAATTAAAAGAGTACACTGATTTATGTAGGACTCAAGACAAAATTGCAGATAAATTATACCATAACTGAATTGAACAGCCTAGACCACAAACTAGGAAAATTGACAACTAATCAGCCATGAATCTAAATGCCTAATTATCAATTTATATCAGCCATAAAGAATATAAATGTATTACATATTCAAATGAAATGAATAAATGGATTTATATAGGCTATATGCCCAATGAGCAGCCCATACTCATGAGACAATGACAGTAACAATCACTGGTGGATCCAGGAATTATCCTTCCTGGGGGCAAGAACTTGTAAACTCTGGCGTAGCAACAACCTGTAAAGTTTGGCCTAATGCAGCTCAATTCTGAACCATTTCTTTGCCCCTTTTCCTTGCCTTAGCCTTCTTTGAGGCATTTTATCAAATTGTTTGCCCCCATTCAACAGAAAATACCATGAAAACTTGACACCTTCATGGGTGTAGAACAGCCTTCACTGGCTCCTTAGTAGATCCTCCAGTGGTAACAATAAGCAATAAGCTAAAAACAACAACAGACACCAACCTATAAATCAACTATTTGAACCATAGGAGAAAAGTAAATGGCAGTCTTGTGTGTCGTCAAACTAGTATTTCCAATTGTTATTTACCTCATTTGACAAGGAGCAGTTGCAAGTGTAAGTCAAGCAGAATCTAGAAGGCAAAATAAAAGTATTATGAGAAGATTAATAACTGAAACATGCAAAACTGTGAAAGTTCTACATGACATTTGGTATATTGCATGAGAAAACTAGGAAAGAAATTGGAAAATAGAAAATCTGAAAATCACTACATGACTCTTGTGCATGAGAAGAACTTTGTTTCTTTATTGGTAGGTAGGGGAGGCCATTTCTATTCCCAGGTACATTTTGACAAAAGTTGAATCCGTGTACATTTTGACAATAAACATGTAATATAATAAAGTGATAAAAATAAAAACTAAAAAGTGCGCTCCAAAATGTTTTTTATTTTTTTTGAAAACTTTTGAAAGCGACCCATATAGCTAAGTGACAAAATTAGTTAAGAAACAACGGTTGGATATTGGAAGACAGCTGTCCGTTGGATGAGATTACATCCAACAGCTGGGTAGTGAGGTCAAAGACTTGAGACCACCGAGTCTATAAATCAGTTCAAGTGACAAGCAAACTCAGTCTTTCTTTCTCGTTTCCCATCAAAGATTAAAGCAAAACAGAGAGAGAGAGAGAGAGAGAAAAAGAGAGAAAACGACTGTTGGGTTAACAATGGCTAATAATAATCGGCTGTTGGGTTTTAGGTTTCGCCCTACAGATCAAGAACTCCTCAGTTACTTCCTCTACAAGAAAGCGATAACCAAGGATCAATTAATGGCGTCGTATTACAGCAACATTGTGCATGAGTTCAATTTCCTGGGCGAAACAGAGCCCTGGGTGGTCTGGGATCAGTTCGGAGGGCCTGGCCTGGTCGACGAAGACCTATATTTCTTCTCCGAACTCAAGACTTTAAGCCAAAAGAGTAAGCGCATCAAACGCAAGATTGAGGCCGGAGGTACTTGGAGCGAAGCCTTCTCGAAAAAGATTTACGACAAGACGACCGGAAACCCTATCGGGCAAAAAAGGAATTTGCGCTACGAGAACCAAGGGTGCGAGCACCACGGCAAGTGGCTACTAGAAGAATACAGTCTTCTTGATAAAGAGGCGCAGAAGATTGTGCTCTGCCGACTTAAAAAGAACAGCAGGGTTTCGAACAAGAGGAATAATTCAACTCAAGAATTTAAGGAGAAACCCTCAAACAAGAAGGCAAGAAAAGAATTGGCATCGGCAACGGTCAAGATTGATGATGAGGAACCACAGAGATCTTCTAGCCTAAGTAGCGTCGTAAATAATCATGATCAAGAGTTGATATTCGACATTAATTATAATGCGATTTCAAATTATCTTTGTAGTGATGATCAAGATAACATCGATGATCCGTTCGACAATGGTTGTGTTACTGATGAAGAATATGCTATCGGCATGGATGCATTGTTGGGAACACCACCATTGTCACAGGAGCTGCCTCATATGGCCGAAACCCTACGGGTAGAGGCTATGAACTCAAGTGGTTTGGAGAATATATGCAATCGACAATTAGAAGACATCACATATTGGTTCAACAATTAGAAAATATATTTTGAATATCTATCTGTAAGAAATTTTTGACCAATTGTGAATTTCCTTTCTTATATGGTACACGAAAGGCACCATTGTAATTTGTAAATTCCTTTCTTGGTATATATGATATGTTTCTTTGATTTCATATTCTTCTAAGTGCTTGCATATGTTGGTTTGAAGATGAGTTAGTTGTGGCTAGCTTGTATAGAGTTTCTATCATGTTTCACTGAATGCTTAAGATTTTTATGGAACATTCGCCAGCTGGCATGAGCATTATGGAAATTTTGTTCGATCTAAAAGAAAATTCCTATTTGAACCTACTAGATTTTCTATTATAATTTAATGATCATTTATATGTTTCTCCAGGCCTTGGATGCATTACTTGATGTATCTTCTTCCTCATTGGACAGTCCAGTAGTAGTTCTAGCAAGAGTTTGCTTTTTAAAGACCAGTCTGATACTGTAAGTAGTATATTTTGTGTCAAGGCATTGTTGTTAAACATAATACTATAAACTTGTCGGGTTGTGCTTTTGGTTATTTAGTTTTGCCTAAAACTATTGAAAAATCTATGCTAGCTTCTGTGTGCAATCAATTTTTATAATGTGACAGTAGGATACTCAAATATATCGCTTATTTTATTTAAGTTTTGAGTAACTATGGTTAGGGTTAGGATTAGCTGGTGATTGATTATACATGATACTGCAGATGAACCATGTGTTTCAAGTGATTTTTGGTTGTATTTTGTTGTTTTCAAGTATTTTTGGTTGTTTTTTGTTGTTCTCGCCTAATTGTCCCTACTATTATGTCATAAGGAAAATATGCAGGATTTATCTGGTCATAATTTGACCTTTTCCTTGGGTTTAACGATGGACTACAATGTGTTCAATTAGAAAGCATTAGTTCATTTGGTGTTTTTAGCTGAGATTGTGGTGTTTTTCATTTATTTTCTTTTTGTGGATTTTCAGTTTTTACAATATGTTAACAGTGTACAAGAGAGTGAAGAAGAGGCTGTGAGTAGGAGGTTCTTTGCAGGCTAGACAAGGTTGAAAATGGTTTATTTATAACTTAATGATTTGTTTATCCATGATGTGTAAATAACGTAGTAGCATATTTTAATTCTTCTTAAGGGGTGTTTTGAATCAAGTGCTTGGTTCTATTCTTCAAGAAGAAGTTTATCTTGGTAAACTAAATTGAGTTTGAGTTTATGGTGTTAAATATTTTGCCATATTTTTGTTGCACTGTTTCTTTTCTTATTCTTATATGCAGGGATGATTTGTTTTATTTTCTTTTCAGTTTTAAACAGATTTACAGTACTTTTCTTTTGCTTAAATTTTGTGAAATATATGTATATGGGGAGCCCAGATTAAGAAATAACGGTTAAGCATTATGTAGCCTTTTTCTTGGGTTTAACGATCAAGTACAATGTTCATTTAGTGTTTTTAGCTGAAATTGTGATGTATACGAGAGAGTTAAGAGGAGGCTATGAGTAGAAGGCGGTTCTTTGCAGGCTAGACAAGGTTGAAAATGGTTTTTTTCTTTCTTTTATTTTTCCTGTTTTTGTTAGACACTATTGATCACTTATTCTCCCTGCCCAAAGTAGTAAAATAAATTATCACAACTATTCAAAAGTATATTTATGTTTGGTATCATCTCATGTTATGTACAAATTGAGCAATGAAAAAGTGAAAGATCAATTACAGAGAAACGTGGTGCAAGTGTCACATTTGTGTTTTTTTTTTTTTTTTTTTTTTTTTTTTTTTTTTTTCATTTCTTTTTTTTTTTTTTTTTGTGTTATTTAATATTGCTACTAATCATAGCCTTTTTTTATAGTTCACTCTCTGGACTTGCTCTGCTTGAAGCAGTACTGTTTGATATTGATAGAACTTTGTGATTGAGATCCCATTCATTTCAATGTCTTCCGCAAAATGCTTCCATGGGTAAAGTTATTGTTTTGTTTCCTACTATTCTGTCATAAAAAAAAAAAGGGCAGATTAAAATGCTGTAAAACAAATACTAGTAATAAAATTAAAAAATTAAACAAAAATCTGACAGAAAATATACCTCATAGTATTAGTATCTGCAGGCCCAGGGTGGATAATAATGCAGATAAGCAATCCCACAGCCTTGGTCCTCATACAACACATAACAAAAACTCAATATTAAGCAAAGCTTTCGTCATTTTACAACAACGCAAGCATTTCAACAAACAGTTTACAGACGACTCACAAGCACAAGCACAAACAGAAGACTCACAACAAGGTGTTCGAAATTACTGCGACTCCACGCCCGATTTTACCGATCCAATTTCCAATTGCCTGTGTCGTTGTCTTCGTCGCCGTCGTTCTTGTTGCTTTTGGAGGGGATTATGGCGCGAGGTCGGTGAACGATGCTCGAGAAATTGGCCGATAAATCGGAATAGATGGAGAGGACTTTGTTGATATTGGAATTGATATCGCGGATCAGGACAACATTTTTGGAAAGATTATCGGGGACTCTGGACCGGTGGTTGTCATTAGCCTGCTGGATCAGAGCGCGGTTCTGATCCAGTACGGACTGGACCTGCCGGAAGCTCCTGCTCAGCGTCTCCCAGAGCTCCACGTCGCACTGCTTTTCTTCCTCCAAGTCATCGTCGTCTTCGCATTTGCTTTGTTCGTCATCGCCTTCGCTCCAGCGGCGCTTGCGGCTTTTGTTGTCGTTAGTTTTGGTTTTGATGGTGGTGGTGGCGGTGTCGTCCATGGTCGTCTGAGTCCTCCACCAAAGACGACGGTTTAAGTGTGGTCGTTCAGACTAAAATGCATTTCTTTATGATTTTTTTTTTCTTCTGATTCTCTGCGTGTGGGATTTTGCAGAAAAGGAAATCGAAATGTTCAGACAGAGGGTTGTCTATGGCCTTTTGCTCATTTGACCAAGCCAACTTATCAAGTGGCGGTTTTTTGGGGTTTCGTAGGTTGACTACGAGGAAATTAATAAATTTTGACCAAAAAAAGGAAGAGGAAAATAATAAACAATATTTAAGGTTTTTTCTTTTTGTTGTAATAATTGTGGTGGTTCCCAAAAAAAAAAAAAAAAAACCAAAACAAAGCCAGAAAGAGGTATCATGAAAATTGAGAATTTCCTAAATAAATAATAATAAAAAGTATTTAATAGATAGAGAAGCAATACCTAAAAACGGATAAAAAAAAGCTCTCAAAGCTACTAAAGAGCCACGGTAATAATGCAATTTGAGAATATAACCCTTCATTTGGATGGAGGAAAATAACTTGGGATTTAACTAAAAGTCGGGAATCGAATAAGAGAAATCGATATTTCTATTGTTTGGCAACTTAAGCATGAAACCTATTAATTTACGTGCGGAAAAAAATTGTGAAAGTTTGGGATTGAGATTTCTGAGTAGTTCCACCAAAATAGGCATCATTTCACAATTTCTATTGAGCGGGAATTCGTTTCCCTGTAAGTTTTGTCATTTACAAAATTCGACATACATAAGTCTAAACATGGAAATTATTAATTGTTAGAAATTTAAATGATGGAGATCTAAATTACGTCAATTTAGAATTCTATACAATTTTCAATTCATTCATTCAAACGAAGGGTAACAGTGGTATTAGAGAGCATTTCCACAAATTTTCTATATATAAGCACTCAAACTCCTTGATCTTCATCATCACTATTATTCACCAATTTTACAAGATCAAAACCTTTTTCCATGGCTGCTCTTCGATCTTTCTTTCATGATAATTTGTTTTGTAGTGGTAGCTGTCTACACTGAAACTCTTAAATCCATAAAGCCTCACCAAACATAACTCCAAGTTTTCCTTCCTTCCAAGCTATAAACACCATAGTCTTCAAACCTCAAGCTTTTCCTCGCATCCTCCTTCTCTTGAAACTCTTAAATCCCCATAGTCATAGCCACAAACAACAAATTATCAACACTCAAACTCAAGCACATCCAATACCAAGCCAAACACATGCATTCTCATTTGCTAAATTTGTGGGTCTTTAGCTCCCACACTCCAAGCTCTCATGCCAAGCTCATATAATCTCAGATCAACATCAGCAAGTCATCTTCAACTCATCCAGAGGGAGCAACATCATTACTCATTGCTGGAAGCTTCAATTTCATGCTATGTTCTTTCATCTTCTTCCTCTCTCTCTCTCCCATAACCACCCAGAGAGAGCAAGCATCACCTCTCACTACTGGAACCCTTCAATTTCGAGCCATGTTCTTCCATTGCTTCCCATTTTTGCTTCTGGCAAAACACTCAAGAGCCTAACGAAGCTTTTGTCAAGCTGCCGGAAACCTATTCAAACCACTCTTCCATTCGTCCCCATCTCTCTCTCTTTCTCTCTTTCTCTCTCTCTCTCTCAAAAAGCTTCATCTCGTATCTGAAACACCTATCCTCTCAAGCTAAGTTGAAACCACGGTCATTACCTTTTTGGTAAGAGAACGTAGACATCACAAGCTCTTCGTCTAGCTGCCAAAAACACCCAAAATCTCAAGCCTTAGTCCTTTCTTTATGCTCACTTTATCTTAGCCACAAGCCTCTCATGCAAGCCTAGTAGTATCTTGATTCACCAAAGCAAACCCTCATGTCAAGCCTGTGCAACATCAATGCACCATCTTCAACTCTTTGTCGAGCTACCGAAAACATCAGCACAAAACACACAGCCGCTAAAAGAAGAACAAAGTACCCCCCTGGGACTTGCTTCTCTCTCAGGATACTTTGGGCATAGTTCTCGCTAACTCTGAAAAAGGGGCAACACATGCTTGATTCACCACTTTATGGCGATCCAAGAATCAACAAACTAGGACGAGCCTTCTTATGTAAAAAGACCCTAACAAAATCTTATCCACTACTTTGCGCAAAGATTTGATCAATCATATTTTAGGAGTATTCTCTCTCTTTACTAAGAGTAGAGATTCTTTGTTGTACATTCATTTGCCTTCATGACTTTATTGAGAGTCCTGATAAAATACATTTTGGTTGTGTCTTCTAAAACACTATTGTATAGTGCCTTCAAAGACAAACAACACAGCCACAAAACAACTATAATGTCTCAAGTCTAAAGATTAATTTGCACCATTGCAACTTATAAGATCTAGTTTGACATGTGAGTAAACACTTCTATTCTAAAACTCTTAATTACTTGCTTATTACGGTCTTGTTCGATCTCTTGGCAAGTTCAAATGATCATTTGAGACATTAAATTCATTTGTCATTGTTTTGATGATGTACAATTCGACATATTTTTAGAGAGACTAACTTTGTTGCTAATGCTTTAGCATATATAAGCCGTTCCATTTCTAATTATCATATTGGGACCACACTCTTCCTTCCGTGGTGCTTGTTCTTTCTAACTATCATTTTGGACCACACTGTGCCATCATGTCCAGTGTCTCATTTTAATTTTAATAGATGAGGTGATGGCTGCCATATTTTTAAGAAAAATAAAATAAAATAAGCTATACTATCACTTGGACTCTCATTTTTCACATCTCTTGAGAGACATCCTTACTAAAACTTAATGAAATCTTGATTAAGGCCGAAAGGCATTTGTATTTAGTCTCATATCTTTTAAAACTAACCCAATTAAAATTGAATGACATTTTTCCTCTCTAATTTAGGGGTTTAAAAGAAAATTCAAAAGCAATTTTAAACTAGGTAGGGAAGAAGCTATTGTTGCCCTGCATTTGTCTCTAATTACATAATACATTACCAATATATCCATTACAGAGAAACTTAGTGAGGGAGGAAAGAAGCAAAGAAAACCAAACGAACATTCCCTTTGCAAAAACCACTAGAGGCAAGGCGCCCCCCACCCCCCAACCCCCAATATGCTTCAAAACGTCCTGCTTCAGGATCCTGACTCAATATTTCTATTGTTTTGCAATTCATAATGTATCAGGGCACTTTCTTCCTGATTCTTTCCTACTCATATGTTCCATAATATACATGATTTCAACTTGGCAACCTGAATTAGCTGACAGTGCCTTGCAGAAGATATGATGCCTTGTTGCGGACCTGCAAAGCGGAAAATACTTTTAATATACTCACCAAGGTGTAAGGAAGAGATGATTAAGTTTGATTCCACACCTTAGATGCAAAACACCGCAAGTCTGTGCTGGCTATCATGCAAGAACAGTTTCTTAAGTAGAGGCGCCACATTGCCTTCAAGACTGGCTTGTCTTCTAAAAGTTGATTAGACAAGAGCCAATTCTCTGTCAACACCAAGTGTATGTACATCTTGAAAAAATCACAGCTTTTGTCTTTGACATTGATTGGGATAAGCAGTTTTAGGATCTCTTCTTCAGAAGGGGCCTGAGGTGAAGTGTGATGTCAAGCAGCAGTGTCAAATCAGTTTATGCAATTTGTTGTGCAAAGGATCATCTAGACAGACATTTCAAACTAACAACAATGTCTTTTGTGGTTAAAGAGAAAAACATTTAGAGAATAAGCAACACAAATTCACTAATGAACAATCAGTAATAATCATAAGTTATTATGTATAGTTCATGTCACCATGAATGTCTTGAAAAGAAAACAAAAATAGAACAAAAAACCTTACTATCAGTATGAGATTAAAAAATAGAAGGGTAGGACATGACCATAACACTTCCAAATCTGGCTGATATTATATCAACAAAAATAAGTGCTTAAAAAGAATAAACAATAAAAAGAAGAAGATTAATTAATGATTACAAAATCTGTTTATTACCAGCATATGATATTAAAATTCAAATCTTATTGGATTGCATAGAGACTGCCTCTTTCTTTCCCATTAACAGCTTAACTTAGTTTGCGGGGACAGTTGTTTGATAAAACTTAGAATAAAAGCATAATTAGTACTATATTCAACAAACTTGTAATCAGGTTCAGTACCTTATGATCAAAATAACTAAGAAGGATTTGATGGGCAACTGTACTTCTAAACAGCTTACAGCGAGTATTGACTACCGAAATGCATTCCACAACTCTTAGGCAGTTCAAGTCCTTAGGTACTCTGCATATCACAAAATCAACAATAATAAGGGAGAGGAATTGTAAAGGTAAACAGAAAAAGACAACAACAATATTTAAGCAATAAAATCATTTTTTTTAGTCTTACTTTTCTGTTTTTTAACCATCACCAAGAATGATATACAGAATTAAATGGCATAAGGATCTCAGAAAGTACTAATATAACAGTTGACTACCTCTTTAAATTTCTTGTTTTCAATTTTTCCAATTTGCCTTCCTATGATAATCCAGATATCCACAGTAACCAACCAATGGAATATGAGCATGACGATTTATCTTATGCATATTCTCTATCTGTCTGAACAAAACCCTTCGTTATGATACTTTCCATTTCTAGAAAATTCCTATTACAGTGATTTCAGCGAAAATATAGTCCCAAGTACTTATGTCCATAATCAATTTTGTCCTTGCTACAACAGAAAATAAAAGGCATATCATCAGCAAAGTTTACAATATATGATAATGAGGGTAGATGCAATAAATATTAACTGATCCCTGACAAATGGTGCAGAAAAGTTCAAATTCACTAATTGATCAAAAACTCTGCTCGACATAGACGAAAGAGTGATCCCCATTCCAATTAGCAAAAACTCCAATCCAACTGCATACATGTGGATTGAAACCAAACAACAAGTAGAGTCAATAACCTGCAAGCAAGAGATTTTGCTATCTTCTCACAGCTAGATTCCCATTCTTCGTTAGTGAAGTAACTGATAGCTGACTGCATGCATTCATGCAAAAGCACAAGAAGACCTTGAAGTTGGCGGTCAGAAAATAGACAAATAATGACTTCAATCAACTCTTCGGCTTCTGAGGTCAAGTACATAGCCCTTTTGTTTCTGCAAATAAAAGCACCACAACAACCCACTGAAATCAATAAAAATCAAACATATTTCCAAATTATTTATAACCATTTGCATCATTAATATATCTGTCATGCTGTAAGATGGTCCTGTTGAAAGAAAAATTTGGAAACGAAGATCACTGTATTGCATATCCAATTAAAACTGTACACTGATTTATGTAGGATTCAAGACATAAATTGCTGATAAATTATACCATAACTGAGTTGAACCACCTCTACCCCAAACTAGGCAAATTGACAACTAATCAGCCATTAATCTGAATGCCTAATTATGAACTTATATCAGCTATAAAAATGAAAGGAATAAATGGATTTATATATAGGCTATACGCCCAATAAGCAGCCCATACTAATGAGAAAATGACAGTAACAATAAGCAATAAGCTAGAAACAATTACAGACACCAACCTATAAATCAACTGTTCAATCCATAGGAGAAAAGTAAATGGCAGTCTTATGTGTCGTCAAACTAGTATTTCCAATTGTTATTTACCTCATTTGACAAGAAGCAGTTGCAAGTTTAAGCCAAGCTCTAATATTCTGAGCTGGACCTCGAGAAGCAGAATCTAGAAGGCAAAATAAAAGTATTATGAGAAGATTAATAACTGAAACATGCAAAACCGTGAAAGTTCTACATGACATTTGGTATATTGCATGAGAAAAACTAGGAAAAAAAATTGGAAAATAGAAAATCTGAAAATCACTACTGATCTATTAACACCCGAAAAAACCATCCTAAAACATATTGGAGTATAGCATTTGTCAGATTTGAAGAACAAAACCCTTTGAACACTAAAACTTTGTTTCTTGACTGGTAGGGTAGGCCAAATGAATTGGGTCCATTTCTATTCCAAGGTTGGACAGGTGTTGGTATATACCAAGTAATATGTGGCAATAGCATCAAGATCAAGGCAACCCAGAAAATCCTTCCAAAATGCATCAACATGAAATCAGAGAATAAAATTCTCTTGAATTACTGCACTTATACATGATTAAGGATATACTATCAAGTATCAACACATAGTTTACAACAGAATAAAGGATGTATATTTCTCCTGTTCATGAAAAAATTACATCTACCCTGAATTATGCATGAAAACTGGTATGAAGGTAAGAAACTTACTGGAACGAGCAGAATCCGTGTTAGATGAAAATTTGAATAGAAAACCATAGCTTTCAAGAGCTATTTTTAACTCAGAATAGCTAGGAAACCAATCAATTTTGATAGGCTGTAAGTCAACCTGGTTAAAATTAATACCAGAATTACTCCCTTAACATATTATCCAATCAAACTTGTCTCCAAGCCAAAAAAACAAAGACGAAGCTCACCTCATTTTCAAATGAGAGAATAGCACACCAGAAGTCACATGCAGATGCCCTCAAATCTTCTTTGGGTGAATATAGCACTGAAAAACAAAGGGGTAAACACATCACAAGAAATTTCATGAGGATTGAAAGGACAGGCTAGGGGTGACAAATAAACTCACTCAAATTAAAGGTCCATGTGGCCACTGATTTTTCTAGATGACGACTGGCGAAAACCAACTTTGAAAGCCAGCCATTTACTAGCAATCCTTCAAGGAAGGGTGTCTCCTGCAAAACATCAACAACTAAATATATACTACTTGCAAGGCCACGTTGCTGTACAGGCCATAATATGCACAAGAGGAGAAAAAAAAAAAAAAAAAAAATTATGACTACTGATAACTAGAAAGCCAAGCATTATAACTAACCATTTTCTGTAGAGATATCAATCACAGAGTTGAGCTCATCATTAATGAAAGACTGCAAGAGTGTGCAACTTTTAATCTCTGGAAAAGATAGAGGAGTTGGGGTTTTCTGTAATCACAAAGTCAAACGAAAATTAAGAACATACTAGATATTTAAAGATCAATTCCTATTAAAATCTACATAACAATAACCAAGCATCAGTTGAGACAATGTAGAGGTTTTATGTAATCATTGAAAACCCGGTCTTTGGAACAAAAGAAAGATCACAAATAGAGGACAAGGTGCCCTATGGCCTATAGTCAAGTCTTATGTCCTCTGTTCTTTTCACTATTTTTTTCCTTAAATGAAAGTTTGTTTCTTATCCCAAAAAGAAAAACCTGGTCTCCAAAAGCGCATATGCCCCACACAAAGCTGTCCTCCTTACCGCTTATTTCTCTCATCTGCATCAAACAGTTTATGTTTTCAATTTAAAAGGAAGAAACTTAGTATACACATAACACCAGAAAATACTAGAAATAGATGTGTTAATATGCCTCGTTTTCACATTTATCGACAATGTCATAGAGCGCAGCCTCTATATGATTATCTTCCTCATCTGAATCATTGTTCCTTCGTGGTTTTGCACGCTTAGATTTCTTTTCAACAAGCTTGTCTTCTTCCTTGTAGAAATCAGTCAAAAGGTCATCCAACCCAATAGCCTTCTTCCTAAATTAGCACCAAAGGGAGATATTACACAAAAGAAACTTCCATTCTCATCAATTACTGGTGATAATCATACACTGACTATAAGTTAAGAAAGCTCTGCTTCGATATAAAATGCAAACACACCATTTTCAATAAATTATTGGGTTTTCATTGCTGTCACTTAAATCCTAGAATTTATGATAAATGTGAACAGCAACCATGTTGAAAAAAGAAAAAAAAAATACAGTGGAAAACCATGAAAACGAAAGTATCCAATTAACGTAAAACTGTGACAAAGGTAAACCCTAAATACCCAGATTAGAAATAAGCTAAAAAACCAAATGAAAAGAAGAAAACCAACCTTTTCTTAGTAACAGAAGGACGATTTAGGAGTGGGTCTTCTGACTCAAAGTCCAGGAAGTTATCCATGTCCATCATCTGTGTCTCGGTCTCTCTCGTCACTTCTTTTCTGGTTCTCAAATTTCAGAAAATGAAAAGCGCCAATGTTTCGTGGCTTTGCTTTGAAAAGGGCGCGGCTAATAGTACCCCAAGGCCTGGGTGTTCTGTTTTCTGTTTGGGCTAGCAGGTCTGGTCATTCTACCCGGCCCACAAAATATTGCTAAAGAAATGAAAAATAAAGTCCAACTAGTTGTTTGTTTTTGAGATAAAACTACACTTGACAATATTGTTTACGACCGTTAACACGACATGAATTCATACACAAAATTCAGTATTTGGGTCAGGGCTTAATGGGTCATGTTGAAAATGGGTGTTCGTTAAGCTAATAGATCGTGTCGTGTCGTGTGAATTTGCAAATGACATGTGTTTCTCTCTCTCACTCTTCTAAATTTTGAGTGAAATTCAGCATAATGTTAGTGAAATTAAGGAGAATCTTAACCTTTTTCAATTATTTCTTTCAGCCTCTGCCCTTTCTCCTTCCCTTTATAGCAACTAAAAACCCTAAGTTAGATCACACTCCCATCCTCCATTGTTGATATTCTTGTTTTTCGAAGCTTTTCTTTGACCTCCCATAATAGATTTTATAGTAAATTTGACTTACTTCCTCTAAATTAAATTGTCCTTAATTGCAATCCATTACTTTTTGTTTCTATTACTAACCCATTTTTTATAAGTAAAAACTCATGACTAGGATCCACCTTATCAAGTTACCTTATCAAGCTCACAATATGATTTATTGTAATTTTCATATACCCCTACGTATTTGCAATTGTTGTTTTCTCCATTGATGGTGCTGAATATACTTTGAACATATTTGCTGTAATTCAATGTCAGTAATATTCAACTGGTGTTTTTTTTAGATAGGAAAATGGTGTTTTAAATTGGATTAAATTTAGGAATTTTTAGGGTAAGCTTTTTCTCTTTAAAAAAAAATAATATTCAGTATCTAAAAAAGTCATGTGTTAGGGCCTGTTGAATTTATGAAGAAACATTTAATATACCTATCATGTTTTAGAATAAAATAATGTACCTATTATTTGTACCTATTTTTTCCACCCTTTTTTTTAATGAATAATATACCTATTTTTAAAAATAAAGAATGTACCTATTTTTAATTTATAAAAAATGTGCATAAATTTCAATTACACAACATAACTATTTTCTAGCACACAAAAAACACCTTATTTTTAATTTATAACTAATGTACCTATTTTTAATTTATAAATAAATTTACAGAAATTTCAATTACAAAATAATGGATCCTTTTTTTTTTAATTTGTAAATAAAGTACCTATATTATATACATATTTATATTTTTTATAGGTACATTATTTATTGGATATGTAATTTAGGGATTTTTTGTTTGTTTGAAATTTTAGGGATTGGCCATGTGCAGAGAGAATGCCAACCAAAATAAATGAAGTGATTGATATGCTATTAATAGGGAGTATTAATTATAATTAAGATAGTTAAGGACATACTTGAAAATAAATTATAAATAAAATATGAAGGTAGGTGGCATATAATGTAATTTAGTTAATAATACTAGAACAAATCTATCTCACATGGAACCTATAAAACCCATAAACAAACCTTGTAACTTACCTAGTCAAATACTTGAAAACTACGTTTTTTTATTTTTTTATTTTTTTATTTTTTAAATTTTTTTTTTGTGTGTGGAGAAAAAGTGATTTCATTGAGAATAAATCAAAGATTGCATACTGTCCTCCACCAAACATCACACACAGCATCAGGAGGGTCCTGAAGCCACGATGTTGTTTCTGGTAGAGTGAGAGCCAACCTAGCTAAGCGGTGCGCCGCTTGGTTAGTTTCTCTATAATCAAATTGAATGGAAACATTCTCTAACTGGGAAAGTAAAAACTTGCAATCGGAAAACAAACAGCTGAGCTGGGATCTATCCTCCATCGTATCTTGAATAGACTGTAGCACGCCTCGCGCATGAATCTTCTCAATCATCTTAGGAACCGGACCAAAGTCTTGGGCAAAGAGTAGGGCCTCACGGAGAGCGAGAGTTTCCGCATGTTCCGGAGAAGCAACATGGTTGAACTTGCATGCACGTGCAGCTACAAAGCATCCTGCAGAGTAACGAGCAATGATCCCCCCACCCCCAATGCCAGTGTGCACCTGAAAAGCCCCATCAACATTGATCTTATTGGCACCCAGAGGGGTTTTTTGCCATTTCGCCTTAGCTCGCGAATTAGACACCGACAGGGCAGCCTGATACTCTTTGAATTCATACAACCACTACTACAAAAAAGGTCAAAGACGACGGGAATTCACCGTCGTGTATTCGGTTTTCAAACCGTCTTGAAATCGACTGCCGTCTATTTGGGTTTCAAACTACGACGGCTTTTCACCGTCGTTGTTTATCTGTAAAGACGACGGTTTTTAAAGAAAATTGTCGTTGTTTAGAGGTAAATATCGTTAATTATAGGAGGAAAGACGACTATTTTTAATAAAACCGTCGTGTATTGTATGTAAAGAAGACGATTTTTTTATGAAAACCATCGTGGATTGTTTATAAAGACATCATCTTTACATACAATAGACGACCTTTTTTTATAAAAAGCGTCATCTTTACGTACAATAGACGACCTTTTTTTATATATAAAAAGCGTCATCTTTACGTACAATAGACTACGGTTTTTTTATAAAAAACGTCATCTTTACGTACAATAGACGATGGTTTTTTATAAAAAGCGTCATCTTTACGTATAATAGACGACATTTTTTATAAAAAGCGTCATCTTTACGTACAATAGACGACAATTTTTATAAAAAAGCATCATCTTTACGTATAATAGACGACGGTTTTTTTTATAAAAAGCGTCATCTTTACATACAATATACGACGGTTTTTATAAAAAAACGTCATCTTTACGTACAATAATGCTTTTTGATTTCCTATGATGCTATACAACGATTTTAACTAGAAAACCAACCATAATGCTTTATCAAAAATAGTTTCTTTCATAAAACTTGAAGATTCAATAGTTATTACATAGTTAACCAATCTTTATTCTACAACAAACATAATTCCTAACAAGACCTACGTACTCCTAATCCAAGCATTCCTCATCCAAACATACAAATGATGCACAACTGAAGTCTCCTCCATCATCCCTGTAAATAAATCAAAATGACAAAGAGAGAAAAAAAAGAAGAAGCTAAGATTATAAACATAAAAAATTAGGTGGAAGAGAAATTTTACCATTGGTCCATATTTCCATAGAAAACTTGTAAAATGAGCATAAAAAAGACCATCGAGAACCTGCAAATTTTCAACAACAAAAAAACATACGACTCACATAGAAAACCTGCAAAAGAAAAAGTTATAAATCTGCAAGCTTCCTCCTCATCTCCTGATAACCAAATCACAAAATCTAAAAAGAAACCAGAAATAAAATATATATATATAAACAAATGAGACAAATCAAGATAGACAAAATCTGAAATTAGGGAGACAAAAAACATACCAAAAACGCAAAGAGACTAATCCAAAATTCACTAGCAAGATATAGAAGGGTATTAAGAGATTAGGTGACTTTCAAATCAAACTTTTCAACTAGCTTTGATTCTCAAATACAGAACATCCCTCTATATCTTATGGATTTGCTAAGACCTCAATCTCTCAACTCCTTCATTGATATCGATTTTTTGATGATTTTGTAGAGAGGTTCATGAGGGTGTTTTAGAGAGTGCAGGAGGGTTTCAAGGAGGGAGAGATAAGGTTTTCAGAGACGGGGGAAAATCTGAAAATTTGTTGAGCGCGAATTCACTTAAGTAGACTTTTTTTAGCGTGTTTTAAAAGACGACGCTTGTTAATGAGAGATAAGATTTTCAGAGACGGATGAAAATTTGAAAATTTGTCGAGCGCGAATTCACTTAAGCGGCCATTTTTTAGCGTGTTTTAAAAGACGACGCTTTTTTAAAAAAAAATTTGTCATCTTTACATATAATAGACGACGGTTTTTTATAAAAAGTGTCATTTTTTCATATAATAGACGACGGTTTTTATAAAAAGCGTCATCTTTACATACAATAGACGACGGTTTTTTATAAAAAGCGTCATCTTTACATATAATAGACAACAGTTTTTATAAAAAAACGTCATCTTTACATACAATAGACGACGGTTTTTTATAAAAAGCGTCATCTTTACATACAATAGACGACGGTTTTATAAAAAGCGTCATCTTTACATACAATAGACGATTTTTTACCGCTACACTCCTTGACCCTATATGAATACAATGACTGAATTTGATATTCAATTTAAAATATTTACACTAGTGGATACCACAAAATCTTATGTTATATTTAACGAAAGTATAAATAAACTCTTAATTGTTAATGAATATTTTTTTTTGATGGCATACGCATTTTAAGAAACTAGTTTCAACGATCCAACCGTCAAACTTGTTTGTTTATACTTCGAGATCATATACGCCAAAAATCGGAAAAAATAAACATCCAGAGATCAAGTAACGAGACAAAAAATTTCAACGATTATAAATGAAAAATCATGATTTAACGGTTATTTTAACTCCAATTTTGATGATTTTTTACCGCTACACTCCTTGACCCTATATGAATACAATGATTGAATTTGATCTTCAATTTAAAATATTTACACTAGTGGATACCACAAAATCTTATGTTATATTTAACGAAAGTATAAATAAACTCTTAATTGTTAGTGAATATATTGTTTTGATGGCATACGCATTCTAAGAAACTAGTTTCAATGATCCAACCGTCAAACTTGTTTGTTTATCTTTCGAGATCATATACGCCAAAAATCGGAAAAAATAAACATTCAGAGATCAAGTAACGAGACAAAAAATTTCGACGGTTATAAATGAAAAATCATCATTTAACGGTTATTTTAACTCCGATTTTGATGATTTTTTACCGCTACACTCCTTGACCCTATATGAATACAATGACTGAATTTGATCTTCAATTTAAAATATTTACACTAGTGGATACCACAAAATCTTATGTTATATTTAACGAAAGTATAAATAAACTCTTAATTGTTAGTGAATATATTGTTTTGATGGCATACGCATTCTAAGAAACTAGTTTCAATGATCCAACCGTCAAACTTGTTTGTTTATACTTCGAGATCATATACGCCAAAAATCGGAAAAAATAAACATTTAGAGATCAAGTAACGAGACAAAAAATTTTAAAGTAACTATAAATGAAAAATCATGAATTTAAAGGTTATTTTAACTCCGATTTTGATGATTTTTTACAGCTACACTCCTTGACCCTATATGAATACAATGACTGAATTTTTCTTCAATTTAAAATATTTACACTAGTGGATACCACAAAATCTTATGTTATATTTAACGAAAGTATAGATAAACTCTTAATTGTTAGACGACGGTTTTTTTTATAAAAAGCTTCATCTTTACATATAATAGATGACGTTTTTTTTATAAAAAGCATCATCTTTACGTACAATAGACGACGGTTTTTATAAAAAGCGTCATCTTTACGTACAATAGACGACGGTTTTTAAAAAAGCGTCATCTTTACATACAATAAACGACGGTTTTTATAAAAAACGTCATCCTTACATACAATAGAAGACGGTTTTATAAAAAGCGTCATCTTTACATACAATAGACGACGGTTTTATAAAAAGCGTCATCTTTACATACAATAGACGACGGTTTTTATAAAAAGCGTCATCTTTACATACTATAGACGACGGTTTTTATAAAATGCGTCATCTTTACATATAATAGACGACGGTTTTTATCAAAACAACCACGTTTTTACCAAAAAAATGACACTTGATTTTTAAAAGACGACGCTTGTCATACCTGCCGTCATTGTTTTTTGGTCAGATTTTAACTCTGAAGAAAACCTTTTTAATAAAACGACACTTTTTTATTTGTGTGCGTCGTTATAAAAAAATATTGAACAGTACTCCGGTTTTTAGTTGTTTAAGTCACTTATCCACGACGGTTTTTTGTTACCGTCGTCTTTTTAAATACAACGACGGTTTTTTCTCCTACCGTCGTCTTTTTCTGGTCGTCTTTTTCACTTTTTGTAGTAGTGAACAATCGCACAGCACCATCCACAACTTCACAGGGGCTTCGACGTTTGGCTGTCCAGAGAACACTGTTGAGCTCATTCCAGAGGTTCCACAGGATCATAAACAGAAGCTCTATTTTATGACAATCCCCACTCAATAGAATCTGTTCTAGCCATCCAATAAGGTCCCGTGTATCACGATCACACCAGTCACCCTGCAAATGGCTATTCTGCCAAATTAAAGCTGAGAAAGAGCAACCCAAAAAAACGTGATGAAGTGTCTCCGCCCGAGCGCCGCACATGACACACTCACCGCACTATCCCCTTGGATACCCTTGCTGAACAAACGTTCTTTGGTGGGAAGGATATTAAGGAACGTACGCCAGACGAGCACCTTAACCTTGGGAGGAACACAAACCTGCCAAAGCCTAGACCATGCTTTAGTGGAAACACCATAAAAGAGAGAACGATTTGAAGTACCTTCCCCTGTCTCCTCAAAGAGAGATTGGCGGGCTACCTCATAGGCACTGCGCACAGTCAAATCACCTTTTTTTTTTCATAGTGCCACACGAGTCGATCCCCCGGGCCTCTGAAGCTAATCGGGATGGTCAGAATGCAGGAAGCCTCCTGAGCACCAAACCACGCATGGACCAGGTCCTCCCGCCATTGGTGCATGATTGGATCAATGAGCTCACACACCAAAGCATTCGCATGTCCAACGACCTCCGGTGATGAAATCTGGAAAGAGGTGGGCTTAGGGATCCACCAATCTCCCCAAACTTTCACCGACTTACCGTCACCAATTTGCCATCGGGAACCTCTAGTTACAACAATCCGTGATTCACATAAGCTTCTCCAAATATATGATGGGGCATGACCTTCAGTAGCTTCCAAAATGGAACAATGCCTGTGATATCTTGCTTTCAGAACACTGGCCAAAAGGGAGTTGGGCTGATGATAAATTCGCCACACCTGTTTAGCTAGTATAAAGCCAAATTGAAAGCATACAGATTACGGAATCCTAACCCGCCTTCACGTTTAGGTTTACACAAGCGCTGCCAACTCACCCAGTGAATCTTCCGCTTGTCTTCATTTGCCCCCCACTAGTACCGGGCCATAACCTGCTGTATTTCATCGCACAATGATCTAGGAATGAGGAAGCAACTCATCTGGTAAATGGGAATAGCCTGAGCCACCACTTTCAAAAGAATTTCCTTCCCAACAAAACTGAGCAGTTTTTCTCTCCAGCCTTGGACCTTCTTCCATACATGTTCTTTAAGAGGAGTGAAGCAAAGTTTGCAAGATCGACCGACGAAAGTGGGTATACCAAGATATTTTCATGTTTTTCCACCCTCTAAACTCCAAGAATTTGAGCCAGCTCCAATTGGCGGGGCAGGTCCACATTGCTGCTAAAAGAGACGCAGCTCTTTTAGAGGTTAATTTGTTGTCCAGAGGCTATCTCATATGTCTAGAATATATGACTAAGGTGCTGGCACTCATTCGGATTTGCTATTGTGAAAAGGAAGTTATCATCAGTGAAAAACAAGTGGGATACCGACGGAGCTCCCCTACTGATCGCTACGCCATGGAGAAGGCCCTGCTGCTCTGCATACAAAGTAAAAATAAATAGGGGACAACGGGTCTCCCTGTCGAAGGCCACGTTGTGGGGAGAGAAAACCAACAGGTGACCCATTAATGAGAAAAGAATACGTCACAGAAGTAACACATGTCATAATAAGCTGAATCCACTTCGGATCAAACCCCATACTATGCATAAAAATTTCAAGAAAGCCCCACTCCACCCTGTCATACGCCTTACTCATGTCCAACTTCAAGGCTTGGAAACCCAATTTACAATGAGTGCGGTTATGCATATGATGGAGTACCTCAAAGGCAACAATCGAGTTATCAGAAATTATACGACCCGGAACAAAAGCACTTTGATGGGGACCGATCACCTCATTCAAAATCACCTTTAGACGGTTGGCCAACGCCTTAGCCCCAATCTTATAAATCACATTACACAAGCTGATAGGACGGAGCTGTGTCATATGTTTTGGGTCCTTAACTTTCGGAATCAAGGCAACATGTGTAAAATTGAGCTTAGCCATAAGTTTACCAGTCCCCAAGAACTCTAAAACCGTCGTAGTCACCGCATCACCCACAACATCCCAATACTTCTGGAAAAAGAAAGGGGACATCCCATCCAGGCCCCGCGCCTTGGAGGGATGCATTTGAAAGAGGGCCGGTTTTATTTCCTCAGTCGTAAACTCGCACAACAAAATTTGGTTCATCTCGGGAGACACACGATTAGCCATTAAGTCACCAAGGGAGCCGAAGTCATTACTTCCAGAAGACTGGAAAAGTGATTGAAAGTAGTTAATCACAGTATTTTCCAAACCTGTCTCAGAATCCTGTCAGCAACCGTCACTATCAAACAGCCCATGAAGTGTATTCTTTTTGCGTCAGGAGGAAGCTTTGTGATGAAAGAATTTGGAATTACGGTCCCCAGCGGACAACCAGATGGCGGGTGAGCGTTGGCGCCAAAAGAGTTCGTCCTTTGCCAAAAGGGAATCCAGGCGTGCCGTCAATCTTTTTCGGTCCTCCACAATTTGTGGGGAGCATGGGCTATCCAGTAGCACACCCAGCTGTGCTCTAGTCTTCTGTATCTCACTCGGAATATTTCCATACTGCTCACGACTCCATGAGAGAAGTTTTTATCAAGTAGACTTAATTTTCTCAAAGACTACTTCCGGAGCATCCCTGCCAGAGCCACGTGATCATCCTTCCTTGACTACGCTAACACAATCTGCATGTTTTGACCAAGCCTCTTCAAATCGAAAATGGTGCTTTCTATGAGACTTCCGAGGCATACTTAACCCAACGGATAAAAGAAGAGGCAAGTGATCAGACTTGGAAGGATTCAAATGGGTTACTGTGTGGCTTGTGGAAACATTTCGCACCATTCCCAGGTTGCTAAAACACGGTCCAAGTGAACTCTTATATCTTGGGGGCAATTGCGCCACCAAGTAAACCTGGGACCTGTGAACCCTAGATCCTTGAACCGACATTGGTCAACAGCTTGCCAGAAAAGTTGCATCTGTCGCTCATTTCGTACCGCTCCCCCAATTTTTTCCTGGGCTACCAATATTTCATTGAAATCGCCTAAGCATACCCACAGGAGGGAGCTAGCGTTACTCAGTCGGCCCAGTAGATCCTAGGATTTATTTCTATCGGAGGTGACTAGATGACCATAGAACCCTGTCAATCTCCATTTGTCTTGCCCCCCCACTATCTGTACCTCAGTATCAATATGGTGTGCACTGAAGGACAGAGCACGCACTTCAACCTCCTCAGTCCATAACAAACATAAACCACCAGAGGACCCAACACTGTCTACCACTACACTTTGACGAAAACCCAATTTATTTCTGATCTTTTCCATGGCTGCCAGAAAGCTACGAGTTTCACTTGAAAACTACGTTAAAAAAGACAAAGTCAATGTTTCTGCTGACTTGTGTGAAACAGAAAACCAATTCCTAATTTGGAGCATGCTTTTAACCAATTGTTCTAGAACGCTTGCTGGTTTTCTTTTATCCCCCATGCAATATAAATACATATTCAAATCAAACTACTCCGCCTTGCATCTCTCTCTCTCTTTTCTCAATTACCTCTAACAAGAAAGTTCGAAAAAAGAAAAAGGGTGGATCGATGTCTCAATTTGGTGGAGGTGGTGATGAAAAATTCAAATTCATCACACATGTGGTCAGAGGCAGATGGTTCACAGTTTTTGCCTGTTTATGGATCATGGCAGGCACTGGTGCAACTTATTTGTTTGACATGTACACCAGAGAGCTCAAAGTTTCTCTTAAAGTTGATCAAAGCGACGTTTTAAAAACTTATGTCTTGGTACCAACCTTGGGAGTTTTTGCAGGCCTAATTGCGGAAGTAACCCCATCTTGGTTTTTGCTCATGGTTGGGGCAGTGGTGAACTTTAGCAGCTACTACCTTTTGCATGAAGTTACTAGGAGATCAATTAGGCTTCAGCTTTGGCAGATATGCGCTTGTGTATTTGTTGACAACAATGCACAGAACTTTACACACACAGCAGCTCTAGTCACTTGTGTCAAAAACTTCCCACAAAAGAGAGGCATTGTTATCGGTCTATAGAAAGGTTTGATCGGTCTCAACGGAGCTATAATCACACAGCTTGCATTGGCCTTCTGTGGAGATCAATCCGTAAGGCATATCCTTCTTTTAATTGCGTGGTTCCCAGCTGCAATAGCAATGGCATTCTCCTTCACAGTCAGGCCAATGGAGTTTCAAAGGCAGCCCAATGAGCTCAGAGTCTTTTTCCATATATTCTATGTGTCATTGTCTCTTGCAGTGTTTCTCATGATTGTAACACTGAAAGATTCTTCACCTTCCCAAGAATAGGCTATGTTGGAAGCCGCGTTGTAATTTTGTTTCTGTTGGCTCTGCCTCTCTTGATTGCCATCCAAGAAGAGAGGTTTATCTTGAGCCTCAAGCAACAGCCTGATAACCATCCCGTTGCGATAAACACGGGTAGTACTACAGAGGGAGCAGTAGTACTACCGGATGCAGGTCATCGCAACAGGATATCTTGATGCAAAAAATTGGACTGGCAAAGGGTGCGTCGTGTCTCTCAACCTCAAACATCGTGAACAAACCATGCAGAGGAGAGGACCACACCATCTTGCAAGCCATCTTCAGCGTCGACATGTTGCTCATATTCATAATATCACTAACTGGATTTGGGTCAAGCACCACTGCCATAGGCAACCTGTCAGAAATCGCGGTTTCAAACGACCTTCCATTTAATACAATGGGAAACATCAAGTTACTAATAAACATATGGAACTATTTTGGGAGGGTGTATTGTCTCGGAACTCCTACTTAAACAAAAAGGAACTCCTAGGCCTCTTATGAATGTTTTTGCTCTGCTTATGTCCTGCCTCGGAGTCCTTCTCATAGCATTTCCATCCGAAAATGGCATCTACATGGCCACAGTGATCATCGGGTTTTCCTACGGCGCACAGGTGACGCTGCTCTGCAGGATCACTTCCGAAATCTTTGGTCTCAAGTACTGCGCCACATTGCTGAATTGCACTCAATTTGCAACCCCGCTTGGCTGGTTCCTTCTCGATAACAAGCTGACCCAACCCATGTACCATTTAGAGGCAAAGAGATTGAACATGGTCGTCGATGGGAACCTTGTTTGCAAAGGAACGACATGTTTCAGAGGTTCTTTTATGATTGTGGCGGCAGTCTTGGTTTTAGGAGCTCTAGCATCCTATGTTTTGGCCAGGCGAACAGCAAAGTTTTACAAAGGTGACGTGTATAAGAAGTTTAAGGATGGAAAATATAAGAGCTTTAAAGTGCAGGCAAAAGCCACAGAGACAGAGAGGGCTTCGCCATCGGATCAGTGACGGCAGTGAGACACTAGTGGATACAAAGGAATGGTAGACCTCCTCCATTATTCCAGGGCAGGTCTTGGGAGGGGGGACAATTTGGTCATGCAGTTTTACCATGATTTCAAAATTTTCAAAATTTTCATTCAAGTTTTAACTATTAAGTGTAATTAGGTCCAAAATTATAATTCATTAATTTTTGTAATCATTATTGCGGTGGTAATATGATCAAGACACAAAATAAAATTGTTTTTAAAAAAAATAACTTTTAAAATTCAATTTTGAAAATGAAGAAAAATTTAGACAGCTGATAATAAGGACCAAAAACACTTCCAACTAAAAAAAAGACTAAAAACGCAAAAAAGAAAAACAAAGCATTCAAAATTTGCCGAAGACCATAAACAAAGCACTAAAAATGTTCCCCGTTTTAAAACCTATAAAAACTTTAAAAAGGAAAAAAGGGATTAGCTTATATGGTGGCTTGCTCTAGACCGTGAATTTTTAAAATTCGGGAATTTCTATACCTGCCTCCAATTTTCCTCCGAAATCTTCCCATATTAGGGTCGAGAACCCAACAGGACCCAGTGGTGGGGTGTAATGACAGTGGGAGGATGGGTTTGTTTTTTTAGACTACATATAATGACTAGTTTCATGTTGAATTTGATATGACTTAATGACCAAATAGACATAGACCAGCTATTTCATAAGTGGTAGTATATAATAGTTTTTTGAGCTTTTCTATATGATTTTTCAAGCCAATTTTAACCTTTCAAATCTTTAAGACATGTTTAACATTTTCAATGATTTTTCAAGAATTTCGAAAAAAAATTCGGAAATATGTTAGTCCCTAAATTTCCGAAATTTCCAAGTTTTTTGAATTGTAATGGACGTTGAAATTCCAAAAAATTCTGGAATGGAATTGGAAAATAATTTTCGTTCCAAAATTTTTTAGAATGGAATTGGAATTCCCTTATTTCAATCCGATCCGTCCAAAAATCTACCATAGATTTTCCCTTTTTCATTGGTTATTTTTTTCTTTTAACTTTTCATTTCATTTTGTTTCCCAGTTTAGCCGCTCAAGGCATGAATTAATAGACTTTTCCAGCATTTCAAATCATGCATCCAACAGAAGGTGACGTGGGTCCCATCATCATACTTTGATGGTCTTTGGTTAGTTCAATAGCCTTAGCCTACCAGCATATATAAATAAACTTGGTGTTGAATTTGTAACCAGTTAAGGTGGGAGGTGAACCAACCAACAGTTTTTTTCATGCTTCCTACAACCACAACTCATCAAAACTCATATGCCAATAATTCCAAGTCCTCGCAGTTTTTCCACACATTTTCTCTATAAAAACCCAATGGAGACTCTCTTGCTCTTCATAACCAAAAAACATTTCAAAGACATTTGCCCTCCACTGAGTCTACTCAATCATGGCCTTTCCCAATCTTTTCTTCATTTTGTCTTTAGCCATGGTGTTGTCACTCTCAAGCTACACCCATGTGAGCCTAGCAGCTCGCCACCTTTAGGACACCCCAGCAGCTCCACCACCGGCATTGACTGTGCCTACAATTCCATCTCTGCCCAAGCCCACATTGCCCACATTGTCGCCATTACCCTCATTACCAACACTGCCCAAGGCTGCATTGCCACCATTGCCCTCATTACCAACACCATCCAAGGCCACATTGCCGCCATTGCCCTCAGTACCAACACTGCCCAAGGCCACATTGCCCACACTGCCAACCAACCCAACTCTACAACCACTCCCAAGCTCCCAAGTCCCTTCTTTGCCAAAACCAGCATTGCCTACGTTGCCCAAAACCCCAAAGGTGACACTACCTCCAATGCCGGCCAACCCAATACTGCCTACATTCCCGACAACAATCCCTTCAATCCCAACTATTCCATCAATTCCATTCTTCTCTCCACCTCCATCAAACTGAACCGCTTGACACGCCCGATGGATCTGACTTACTACTATGCATCTATCCAATTAATTCTTAAACGTCAGCTCAAGAGTCTCCATCTGGGAACATATAGATGATACGGTTCTTGTGTTTGATGATGAATTAGTCCACTTGTACTAGATACATTGTGAGGATGCCAGTTTTCCTTCTTTGTCTTTTATATTTTCATTTTCAAGTTGTTTGGTTTCACACATCTGACTATATATCCTTAGTGTTTGTTTTGTTTCCTGATATCTTTGTAGTGTATGAACAAGATTTATTACCTTTTCAAGATTGTTCTAAAGGATAAGTTTAGTTTCCTTCTCCAATCATCATACTAATACAAACACATAAGATCATATCAGAAGTTTCAGAGTACGCTCTAACTTTGAGAGGGACACGTGTAAAGTTCCCCTTGTGAGGGGAGCTGTCTCTAGCTGTGTGAGACATTTGACCAGTCTCTTATTAGACATTGGTCAAATGTCAATCAACCTGGTAAAAATAGCTCCCTAAAAAACTCACTATATTAATCTGATAAAAATAGCCTTAAAAGAAAAGCAAAAACAACGGCTTACACAAACTCACCCACCTCCTATCTAGCCTTACTTGTAGCCAATGTGTGGCTCCACTTCTCTACCAGTTCATGGAGGCTGGCGGTGGTCTCTTACATTTCTGCCAATTGTAAAATCCCTGTGTGAATCTGTTCCACTATATGAACCGAAATTCTATCATAACCCATCTCACTCTCTCTTTTCATACATATTAATGTATCTGTAACAAAGCAATACAGAAAAAGTTCTAAATTTCTACCCAAAATTACACTTGATTGCTTAATTTCCCTTGCAACAGTCCTAGCCTGACCAAGGCAAAAATGAGCAGTTCTAAAGCTGGTAGTAATGCTATGGGATGCAGTGAAATAGGTAGGTTTTCATGGTATATGCTGACAGGAAGATGGTTCAGTGTGTTTGCCTCCTTCCTCATTATGGCTGGAGCTGGTGCCACTTACCTCTATGGTACCTATTCCAAAGAGATCAAGTCCACTCTTGGCTATGACCAAACAGAAATCAACATGCTAGGCTTCTCCAAAGATTTTGGTGCAAACGTTGGTGTCCTCTCTGGCCTAATTGGTGAAGTAACCCCAGTTTGGTTCGTGCTCATAATTGGCGCGGTCATGAATTTTGTAGGCTACTTCATGATTTGGCTGGCTGTCACTGGCAGAATTCCCAAGCCTAAAGTATGGCAGATGTGCATTTATATATGCATTGGAGCCAACTCTCAAAACTTTGCAAATACAGGAGCTCTTGTCACTTGTGTCAAGAATTTCCCAGAGAGCCGAGGTGTTATGCTTGGTCTGTTAAAGGGTTTTACTGGGCTTAGTGGAGCTATCCTGACACAAATTTACTTGGCAGTGTATGGAAATGATTCAAAATCCTTGATTCTTCTTATTGGCTGGCTCCCTGCTGCAGTGTCAATACTTTTTGTATACACCATTCGACCCATGAAAGTTATTAGGCAACCCAATGAGCTCAAAGTCTTTTACCATTTCCTCTACATCTCAATTATCCTTGCAGTATTTCTCATGGTGATGAATCTGCTTCAGAAATATATTAATTTCTCTCATGCTGCCTACGCTGGAAGCGCCACTGGGGCTGTTTTGTTGCTCTTTCTCCCCCTTGGCATTTCCATTAGAGAAGAGCTAGTCCTCTGGAACCTCCAGAAACAGCCTGTTGATCCTCCAACTGAGGTCAAAGTTGAGAAACCACAAGAGATCGAAGAGAAAAAGGAAGAGCCGAAAGAGAAAGAATTGGAGACACCAGAGCCAGGTTGTTTTTCTGACATATGGAACAAACCACCAAGAGGAGAAGACTATACCATTTTACAAGCACTCTTAAGTACAGACATGCTCATTTTGTTCATTTCAACATTATGTGGGCTTGGGTCAAGCTTGACAGCAGTAGACAACTTGGGGCAAATTGGTGAGTCTTTGGGGTATCCAACTAAAACAATAAAAACTTTTGTGTCATTAACTAGCATATGGAACTACTTTGGCAGAGTCTTTTCTGGGTTCATCTCCGAAAGCCTACTGATCAGGTGGAAAATTCCCAGACCATTAGTAATGACTTTTGCTCTTGTTCTATCATGTGTTGGTCTCCTACTCATTGCATTTCCGGTCCCTGGTTCAGTTTACGTGGCATCAGTGATCATAGGGTTTTCTTTTGGGGCTCAATTGCCGTTACTTTTTGCAATCATTTCCGAGCTCTTTGGTCTTAAGCACTTTGCTACATTATTCAATTGTGGACAAATAGCAAGTCCAATAGGGTCCTATCTTTTCAATGTGAAGCTCACCGGGGCGCTCTACGATAAGGAGGCAATGAAAGAGCTAACAAAGAGAGGTTTGACCAGATCACAAGTGAAGGACTTGACATGCCTTGGAAATCATTGTTATCGGTTGTCTTTCACGATCTTAGCTGCTGCTACATTCTTTGGTGCTCTTGTGTCACTGATTTTGGTGTTCAGGACAAGAAAGTTCTACAAAGGTGACATATATAAGAAATACAGAGTATAAACAGGATCCATAGATTATTTTTCTTTTTCTGTTGGTTTATGACTGCAAAAACAGACACTGTCAACGGATGAGGAACCTAAACAGACATTGTAAACAGAGAAATTAGGAATTTGAAGATTTTATAAATAAGGACTCAGATCTGGTTCTGGAGAAGGATGTATAGGTCATATCGAATTTATGGGCAATGTCTTCACAACACAAGTGTGTTGGAGCTTTGCAAAGCACCAGCAAACATTTTTTTCAGGAAATTCGCAACAGGTGCTTATGCCTAATTTATGCTTCCTAGTCCACCAATATGTTGATAGCTCCTTATTGTCATAGATAAGGGGAGCTCTGTTCGCACTCCAGTGGAAATGTCTAAACAGTTTACAGGAGTGTGAATAAAGCGCCCCTCTATGTATAATTATCCTCTTCGACTTCCTAGTCGATGTTTTGTCCTTCAACACTTGAAGCACCGCCGTACACATGTCAATATTATTAAACCACGTTTAACTTTGAAAACAAAATTAGATATTAAATGGACACCTCGCCAACCATTTTAAGCTTCTAAATCCAAACATTTGCCAAACATGAAAAATCAATACAAATCTCAACATTAACCTCTAAATAGGCACCCAAGAAACCATGTGTACATTAACCTCTATACAGATTCGAAAAAATTTGAACTAATGTGTTAAAAATTGCAAAAACTCCTACTTCTTAACTGGAGTTTATGTGATTGGACTACATAGCAAAAGATGTATAAAGACATGAAGTTGCAATCTTCCACGATTGATGCACAGGAGGGCTTTTGACAATACTTTAGCATAATGAAACATACTGCTTGATATATAGAAAATCATATACCTTGTATTGTGACTATCATGAAATCTTTCTAGATAGGTTCCTCAAACCACAGCCCACACACTTGAGAAGAACAGTACTTGTGGATGCGCACGGCATAATGACAAATTTAACTCTGAGAAAATCATTGATGTTTCTGAGTGTATCTATCCCATAAGGAGAGAGCTTTCCGACCCGAACTTTTGAAACATCTTGGGGATATAATGCACAAAGAAGAAAAAACAAACCCTACAAACCCAAATGGCAGCAAACTCACTATCAGAAGACAAACATAAATCATAAAAAGGGAGGAGGCGACCCATATTCAAATAATATATTTCTACTCTAACATTTCATTTTTATAGCAATCATAATTCATTTCTTATTGAAAGTGCGGCGTGCCAAGTCGCCCTGCATGGAATAAACAATAAAAGACAATTCATTTTTTAGTGGTTATGTTTGATTGTTACTATGGAAAAAATTTGGCTGGTATCCTCACAGCAGCATCTCTTTTATGTCCTCATTTGACAGATTCAGAAGACTTTGACTAGGATTTCAAAATCATTTTCATTTGGATATTTCTTTCTCAAGGTTCTTGTTATCTTGTTGCATCCGTTTGGCTGGAGTAACAAGTGTCAATTTTAATATTTTCAATCCAATACTTTTTTTCATAGATAGCAAGAGGAAAGGCATAGACCATGAACAATGATCATAAATGAGTTTAGGTTATCAATAACTCCTTATTGTTGTTCTCTTCATCAGACAAATGGGAGTGATTACTGAAATAGCAAAAGTATATATAGCACATGCCTTAATAAAATCATAAAGGAATTTCAAGGGTCTTCCTCAGACTAAAATTTTGCCAAATCTTCCATCTAGGACAACTTTTCCCTTCATTTCATCCATTTCCAGAAATCATTTTCCTGTTTTAGTGCACACTTCCTTAATTTCTGTCTTATGGTGTGAAGTTCTAAAATCAATAAAAATGAGAAAGTACGAGAATTAAGTCAGTAGGGAAGGAGCACAATACATAAAATAACTAACCTGGTGTCTCCCCAAGCAGAACAGAAGCAATTTTCAAACCAACATCCTTTGGAAGCACCAGCTCTTTCTTCTCATAGTCAACTTCAGATATGTGTTCCCCTCGTGCATGAAAAATATAGTTGTATCAGCAGAGATATAGCAGCCAGAGGTTGTTTCCGCAACTATTGACATTCCATAACCATGTGACCTGCCATAAAGTCATTGTTGTCTATATGAGTGGAAGTGTACTTAAATAGCATAAACCTAAAAAAAAACACACATTCACAATTCCATCAAATATATCCTGACATTAGAGAAATTAACAATATCTGGATTGAAAACATACTCTCCAGCTTGTGGGCCAGCTCTATGGTCAGTAAATATGTGAACATCTGGAAGGAAGGGGTGAAAGACTCCTTGAGCTGCATGTACCATTGTATTTTCAAACTGCACGGACACTCTCATTGAGAATGTAACACCTCTAATCCTCTTAACCAACCCCTCATCAGTCCATGTTACTCCCTGTAGAGCAAAACATATAAAACAAAACCCAACAAAAATGAAGAAAAAAAGACTACCCATAAGTCTCAAAAACTCACAGTCAGACTTTGAACAACTGGGATTGCCCCAACGACTTCACCACCGCCTTTAGGAGCGCATCCACGACTCTTTATTTCCAGCTCCAATCCTTCTGAGGGAACTCCAAAGCATTTTAAAATGGGAAAGGTAGTAGACCGGAAGGTATCAATAGATGGGTCCTTCGAATCATTTGTAAATCCTGAAAGAACAAAATGCAAGTGACTTACAGTGGCAGCATCTTCGTAAATCTCAAATCGACACGCACAAATGCAATATGGTCTGGTGACCCATAATCAATAGGGTTAGGCCTTTTTATTCTATTTTATTTATAACTGGTACTTTGATAGTTAGATTAAATCTATGCTAGAACTAGATAGTTGGGTTTGTAAAATTGTAAGTGTTCAATAAATTAGTTGGCTAGAACCGATTGTTAAAATTCCATCTACAATGTAAAATTTTAAGTGTTCAAACAAACTGCTTGCTAAAAATACAAACAAACTGAATTCTTAATATTACCAAAACTATATCATTACCAAGTGCCGAAGTTTAGAACTAGTTACAAATATGCAGTTTTCATAGCAATGATGAAGCAACAAGGTTCAGAATTAGCAGTGAAAAAAGTGGCTACCTTTAACCGTAATGGTAATGGGTTTCTTAGCAAAGAGGCCAAGCAAAATCAAGGGCTCCAAGAAATACCCAATAGACCGCTCAAAACCATAGTCGTGTTCCAGTGTCAACCGACCCATCACTATCCTTGGCTTGAACTTAAATACAGTGCCTACCCAAACACACTGAACAAAAATAGCACTCAGAACTATACGTACATATATATCTATATAATATAATGTATGAAAAAAATTAGTGTTTGGGGAGGGCTACTGGGTACCAGTGTCGTTGATTTCGAAAGAACAGCCATGGCAGACCAAAGCGAGCAACTTGACGAGGGAGACCTCGTACTTGCGGAGACCAGGCCATGTCTCGTTGGTTCGTATGTCGGGAATTTGAATGTGCGTGAAGGTGAGTGTAGACAACACAAGCTGTTGTCTTAGGTTTTGACTTCCAGATAGCTTCTTGTACCTCGTTTTCTCCATTTTGCTTCTTCTCTGCTCTCTGCTCTCTGCAGTCCTCTTTTGAGCTGTCGTCTGGAAACAAAATTAGAAGCAGAGCAATTGCTGCTCTGGTATAATTTGATGAGCAGTTTTCGTTTGAAATGTATATTTGTACCCGCAAATTCACTCAACATACCCACAAAACTTTGTTTAAAATTTGTAAAGCCGAATTTATATAGTTACTTTTGCAAGGGAAATGGAGTTCAAAAGCTCTATATTCTAATTAGATGGCCGAGTCTAGTAGTGTGGTGTGCTTGTAACTAAGCATGACGTTAAAGTGATTGATTGTTTGAGCTAAAGCTTTGTCAAGTGAGATGTAGTGCCACAAAGCACGCCCCCTATTCTCGGGTTAGTAAGACCCCCCAAACCAAAACGGGTGGGTAGCAAACACAAAACTCAATTGTTCAATTGTGGTCGTTATGTACCAAACAGAAAACAGACCGCCAAAAAAAAATTTAATTTAATTTTCAGGAACATTTGGGTTTTTCTTTTGCGCAAATATATTTAGTTTTTTTATACAAACGCAGGGAGGAATCAAACCTATGACATTGACTGCATTATATTTGGTTTTTCTCCTAGTATATTTGATTTATTATTATTATTATTATTTTAATGTTGCTAAATCTGAAAGTCTTTTCTTAACACTAGCCCCTTGGCACACACGTGAGTGTGCCAATTATTTTTTAACTTAAGAATTAAGAAAGAGAATCCAACCAAAAAAAAAACTGAAAAGAAAGAAATAGGATCCTGTTTCTCATTAATTTTTGGTATTTTGAATTTTTTTTTCATTCTCCGCCTTTTACATTTATGAGAAATGGAATTCATTCATAGAATCAAAGTAGCGTACGTAGAACGACACGAAACAGTGGCCTCGTTAAAACCTTTTTGAGGGATAAACCTCAGGGTAGGAAAGAGTACCACACATGTCATAGACTAACAAGAGAGTCTGAAATAGTCACGCATGACCAATGCTAGAGCAAGATAAAATAAAACAGCAAACTGACACATAGACCTTCAACGCAAAGACCTTCGACAAGAACACTACAACACAATCCAACTGTCAAAAGAGTCTTGCTATGAAATCATAGTCTTTTGTACAGCCACAAGATAGTGAGAACATTAGACAGAGAACACAATACACCAGGATGAAAGAAAACAGCCACTAAGCACACCATCTCTAGCCACCTCCAATAACAATTGGCGATGAAAGAAGAGAAATCTGCAAGGAGCAACACAAAGAAGAGACTAACCGCAAACAGACCAAGAAAGAAAATAAATAAATAAAAAAGCTCCCAAGCACGCTATATCATCTCAATACTGACAAAGAAACCTCCTATGAAAACATAGTCCTTAAGACAGGCGGAGAATCAAAAATCAGTTAAGGGGAGAACGAAGAAAACACCAAGCAACAGTAACAAAACTGGCCTAGCCACTTAACCTGAACACGGGGATCAAGCATAAGAGCATTCGCCAGATGCCAAGCCCACGAATGCTCAAGAACACATTAAGGAAGGCGTCCAGGAGACTCAATTCAGTCAGTCTCCATTGGTTTGTCAAGAAGGACACTAACGTCACCCGAATTCGCAATTTCCATAGCAGAGTAACCAGCTAAACCCGTAAAGATGGGTAAAAGGATGGTACTCAACAACCCTAGTTGCCAAAAACTTGGCCCAACACCGTGAAAATGAGGACCCTAGGAAAAGAGCCACCCACGCCAAATCTCTAGAAAGCGGTCGTCTTCTCCTGAAGATAAGGCTTGAGATCGCAAATCAGACGACGGAGGAGGTGTGAGAAAGCCACCTTCACTGTAACTGCCGACCACAACAAAGCAGCTTGCACTATGATTGTTGTTGACTTGGAAACTGTCGACACAATAGTATGAGTAGACCCGATGAAACCACCATCCTAAGGCAACCACTAGAGACGCCAACGCACCGAGGAGAAAGAGAACGATGAAACCAATGCCCAGGATCTGAAAGAGACAACAATGAGGCAAGCACCCCAAAGTCGAAGAGAGGAGTGACGACAACGACTCGACATGGAAAACAAACAACAGCGACTCGACGTGGAAGAAAAGTGACTCGAAGCTGTCAAGTTAAGGAGGATGACAACGGCAGCTGAACATGGATGAAAATGAATGTGGATAGGATGAGGAGGGGATGACGACTGAACATGAAAAGCCTAAACCCTAATATTTTACGCATGACTCTTCTCGAGTAGCGAGAGAGCGACTCGTAGTGAATTTTGTTTTTTTAATTTGTTAAATGTAATCTCCGCTTTTTGCTTTATTTATATAGATTAAACTTATTACAAGTAATTCTTGAACAACAATTGAAAAAAATAAATAACTAAATACTGCTTAAAATAAGGAGAATCTAACGAAACAATATAGGGAGTGCCCTTGAGATGCTGTTGGAGTTTAAGTTTTTGGAATCAACAAAAACCTATGCAGCCTCTCTATGCTTCTTCTATATATCACCTTTGTAGAACTTTCTTGTCCTCATCACCAAAATCAGAGAAACTAAGAGTACCAAAGAATGTGACAGCAGCTAAAATGGAGAAAGACAGCCTATAGCATTGACCCCCAAGGCAAGTCAGCTCCTTCACTGATGACCTAGTCAGTACTTGAGGCCAAACAACTCAGAAATTATTGTGAAAAGCAATGTCAATTGAGCACGAAAAGAAACTCCAATGATCACTGATGCCACATAGACTGAACCAGGGAATGGGAAGGCAGTGGAGAGGTAGGCAAGAGATGAAAGAACAAGCATAAAGGTCATCATGAGTGTTCTTGGAACCTTCCACTTTACCATTAGGTCAAAGACAAACCCAGAAAAGCCCCTCCCAAAGTAGTTCCAAATGCTCACCAAGGACACAAATGTGCTTATTGTTTTGGTTGGATATCCCAGAGACTCACCAATTTGACCCAAATTGTCTACTTCTGTCAAACTTGACCCAAGTCCACAAAATGTTGCAATGAACAATATCATCATGTCCATGCTCAGGAGTGCTTGTAGAATTGTATAGTCTTCTCCTCTTTCTGGTTTATTGCAAATGTCACCAAAACAAGTTGTGCTCTTTGTGTTCTGTACTTGCAAATCTGAATCATCCTTTACAAACAAAGAGAAGAAGTGTGGACTGTTGACTAGTAGGGGGATGCACATATATATAGGAAGGAATGATGACTACTGTCTAAGCTTGCTGAATTGGCTTTCTTCACCTGTCTAAGATTGGCAGTTAACCTTAGAATTTATAATTTATTTTAAGAGTTATTCTTATTAGTTTAATTGGTAACGATATCGATTATTATGAACCACACACTAATAATGACAATATATTGATTGTTTAATCCAATGATTACCGTGAACTCAAATAGGTGAAATCATGATTTTAGACCACCATATTAAATTTTTGGTATTTTAAATTTTTTACATTCTCTGCTTTTTGTTTTTATATATAGATTAAAGATTATAACAATTATTATAATTCTTGAAAACAAAAAATGAAAAAAAAAAAAAAAAAAAAAAAAAAAAAAAAAAAAAAATAACTACTTAAAATTAGGAGAATCTAACGAAACAATATAGGGAGTGCCCTTAAGATGCTGTTGGGGTTTAAGTTTTTGGAATCAACAGAAACCTATGCAGCCTCTCTATACTTCTTATATATATCACCTTTGTAGAACTTTCTTGTCCTCATCACCAAAACCAGAGAAACAAGAGCACCAAAGAATGCGACAGCAGCTAAAATGGAGAAAGACAGCCTATAGCATTGACCCCCAAGGCAAGTCAGCTCCTTCACTGATGACCTAGTCAACCCTTTCTCTGCTAGCAGTTTCAATGCCTCTCTGTCATAGAGCATCCCAGTGACCTTTACATTCAGAATATAAGACCCAAGTGGGCTTGCCAGTTGTCCACAATTAAACAATGTGGCATAGTACTTTAGGCCAAACAGCTCAGAAATGATTGTGAAAAGCAATGTCAATTGAGCACCAAAAGAAACTCCAATGATCACTGATGCCACATAGACTGAACCAGGGAATGGGAAGGCAATGGAGAGGTAGGCAAGAGATGAAAGAACAAGCATAAAGGTCATCATGAGTGTTCTTGGAACCTTCCACTTTACCATTAGTGTTTCAGAGACAAACCCAGAAAAGACCCTCCCAAAGTAGTTCCAAATGCTCACCAAGGACACAAATGTTTTTATTGTTTTGGTTGGATATCCCAGAGACTCACCAATTTGACCCAAGTTGTCTACTGCTGTCAAACTTGACCCAAGTCCACAAAATGTTGCGATGAACAATATCATCATGTCCATGCTCAGGAGTGCTTGTAGAATTGTATAGTCTTCGCCTCTTTCTGGTTTATTGCAAATGTCACCAAAACAAGTTGTGCTCTTTGTGTTCTGTACTTGCAAATCTAAATCATCCTTTATTTCTTGAATTTCTTGTGGCTTCTCAATGGACACCTCAGTTGGAGGATCAACTGGTTTTTTCTTGAGGTTCCAGAGGACTAGCTCTTCTCTAATTGCAATGGCAAGAGGGAGAAAGAGGAACAGACAAACGACAGCGGAAGTTCCGGCATAGGCAGCTTGGGAGAAAGCAACCTGTTTTTGAATGAGATTCATAGCCAGGATGAACAATGCAAGGGAGACTGAGATATAGAGGAAGTGATAAAAGACTCTCAGATCATTTTGTTGCTTAACAGCTTTCATTGGTCTAATGGTGTAAACAAAAACAACTGATAGTGCAGCAGGCAGCCATCCAATTAGAAGAATCAAAGATTTTGAGTCATTTGGGTAAATTGCCAAGTAAATTTGGGTAAAAATAGCTCCACTGAGCCCAGTAAAACCCTTTAACAGACCAAGCATAACACCTCTACTCTCTGGGAAATTCTTGACACAAGTGACAAGAGCTCCTGTATTTGCAAAATTCTGAGAATTGGCTCCAAGGCATATGTAAAGACACATCTGCCAAACTTTAGGCTTGGCAAGTTTCTCAGTCACAGAAAGCCAAATCATGAAGTACCCTGCAAAATTCATAGCAGAACCTACAAGGAGCACAAACCAAGCTGGAGTTACCTCACCAATTAGGCCTGAGAGCACACCAACATTTGCACCAAGATCTTTGAAGAAACCTAACAAGTTGAGGGTGGTTTGGTCATATCCAAGAGTGGACTTGATGTCTTTTGAATACACACCAAAGAGATAAGTTGCACCAGCTCCAGCCATGATGAGAAAAGAGGCAAAAACTGTGAACCATCTTCCCTTAATCACCTGCACTGCAAATGGACACAATCCACAACTGCTTCTGCTGCTGCTGCTGCTGCTATTGATAGAACTGCTCATTTTGGCTAGAAAGATTCAACCTTTGCTAGAAAGATTTAACCTTTTATACGTTTGGCAGAGACCTAAGAAAAGAAAAGTTACAGATGGTATTGGATTGACTGGGAGATCAGTTATTGGTAAAGATTTTGAACAAGTCACAGAATTTATATATAGTAAGCCGATTAGGTAGAGAAAAGTGAGCGAGTTAATTTTGTGTGAGCCGATGTTTAAGGTTCATACTTCTCATATTAATCCAATGAAACTGTCTTACAATGCAACTCAAACTCACTTGATTACCGTGGTTCTGTTTTTAAAATCATATCCATTATTACCAAACAGACCCGACTTTGTTCTCTTTTGTTCAATTTTTTCTGTTGTTAATACAAGTCAAATGGGCTTTTTGTTACGTCATGCACTTGTTTTCAAATTGTTCTTCTTTAGCTTGTTGGGTAAAAACTTACCTCAATTTTGCATTATGGTTATATTTGGTTTCCTCTTTTTTGGTTGATTATACTTGTGTTATGGTTACAACAGTTATATCATAATTTTTTTGTTTCTTACTTTTAACTTCTGGGCAGTAAATGCATTCGGCACAACCATATCATAAATAATGTGAAACTTAGAGCATTCACAATGGGAGGGTGTATAAGGAGGTGTATGTTAAATATACACCCTTTGTCGCCGGAATTATCTCCAATAGAAATATGTAAATGGTTGTAAAAATACACCCCCACCATGGAGATGTAAAATTAGATGCACATTTGCATCTTTTTTTACATCATTTGCAGGCGGGACCCACAAGAGAAAAATGGAAAGAGAATGATTGGAATTCAAAATGAAATGCATGGATTTCATGCAATTTGCATTGCACTTCCAATGGCCTAGATTTCTACATAGATATTTTATGTTAGTTTGTAGGTAAAATCATATGTTCTCCAAATTTAAATTGTTTTAGGTCCATTTATTTGGAAAAATAAAATAAATCTAACACGCACAAAATTAATTTTAAAAAGTTAAAACATACCAAAAAAAACACACAAAAAAGAATTATCACAAACAAATCGAATATGCATCTTTGGATTTACATCGTTTTCCATTAGAGCAAAAGACGTATTTACACCCCTTTGAGGTGTAAAGGAGATGTAAAAATGGTTTTACACTCCTGAAAATACACTCCCCCACTGTGGATGCTCTTATATGGTAACACAATCCTCATGCTTTAGTTTTTCGATCTGACATAATACTATTACGCGGTATTACTAATTCATTCATGTTATACTAAATGTGTTCGATCATAAATCATAATGTTATAATCACACACAATTTCTCCTTTTCTACTCATATTAACAACTGAACCTCATCAACCGCAATGATCCTAACCACTCATATACCAACTGTATTGCAAGGTTATATATGATATTTTGTTCTTATTCTTTTTGGGTTTTATGTGGGCCAAAATTCCTGATATTTTGTATGACATTTGTTCAAGTTAGTTCATAACATCTAAAATTGGCATCTCTAGTAGGGTCAAAGTCAAAGTTGCTAATACTTGAAGCTTTATCTGGAATTGAATAAATTCACTGGAAAATATGGGACAAAGTGTAGACCTTATTTTGCTACAAGAAGGTAAACTTGGAGTACTAGCAAAGAAGAGAGAGATGCAAGATCGATAAGACAACGGTAATCATTTTCCACCACATCAGTTTAAGATAAGAATCCCCCAAAATCTCGATATATAATGCTTGCAATCCAATTATGACAAAGTTCACGATGCTCTTACCTTTGCAATTCTCCAAATCCACGTTGAAAAGGCAATACCCACCAGTTGATGCTATATGAATTTTCTTCTTTTCAGGTTGGTAAAAATTAAATTAAACAGCCTTTTAAACAATAACATATTCTTTTTAAAAATTCAAAAGAGAAAATCAAAAGGGAAGATAAGAAAACCCCACAAAAGAAATTACAGTAATTGTAGTAGTCAATTTTCCTTTTTATTTTTATTCTCAAATCGAACCATTAACCTATCCTAATCCTAACTCATTACCCTACTTTGTCTCAATGTAGGCCTGCGAAGCCCAAACTTAGACCATTAAACTTCGCTTAGGGCTAAACAACTTTCCCCAAGCCGAGAGCATTTACCATTAAATTAGAATCTCAAGCAAGTCCTAATAACCCGATCAAAGCCAATTCTAAGACTGCTTACACCATTGAGGCAACCTAAGCATTAGGACCCAAAATTATCAAATTATAAGAGAAAAACATTATTCCATATGGATTGGTAGGCCTCAATGATTGCTGCCAATTCTCAAACCATGAAAACTGCACATTTGCCTTTCCCCGAGGGTAGAAAGAAGGATCTGGCTATTTCCATAATGTACAAAAAGCATTAAGGATTTTCCTCCAGAACCGTTAAAACACGACACAGAATACACATCGGATGCGATGGTTTTCAACAGACCGTTGTATAAAGGTGTAAAAGCCTATTGAGTTTTTGACCGTTGCTTCTTAAAAAGCCCACACGACACTTTTGCTTTCCTCTCCAAAACCCCGAATGCAGGGGTCCCCGGACCTCATAAAGCGACTTCCATAAACCCTAGCTCTGAAAGAAGCCCTTTTCTGGAGCCTGATTTCTTTTTAATTTTGTGAACCTTTGTGATTTCTGATTGGTCTGTCTGCG